GGAGAGAAAAAGACATCTCCTCTTCGTTCTCCCTCTCCTTCAAGTGTATATTTAGTTTAAGGCAGGTAAAGATAAAGGAAAAATTTTTATTTTACCTTTCTTAATCCATCCATTTTTTTATTTTTTTAAACTTTTTGACATGAGATGGGTTTCGAACCCGTCCAGGAAAAAAGAAAATGCACTTTTTAATAACTAGTGCCATTAGGTCTTTAGAGTCAAGTGTTTTAGTTCTTTTTTTTTTTTTTGTTTTTAACTGGTTGATAAGGAGTTAGGTTGAACCCAAGCCCAAGGAAAGGGAGAATTTAGAGTCAAGTGTTTTAGTTTTTTTTTTTTTTTTTTTTTTTAACTGGTTGATAAGGAGTTAGGTTGAACCCAAGCCCAAGGAAAGGGAGAATGCATCGTGAGGTGATTAATGCCATTTGACCCAAAGGGTTGGATGCTTTAATTCATCCATTTATTTAAATGAAAAGTTGAAAATAATATATCTTTTCATTCTTCTTCTCTAATCTCCTTTCTATTTTCCTCCAAAAGCAAACTTATCCTAAAAAATTGTTGTAATTACAAAGTCTTTCCTTTTCCAAGTGAATTAGGAAGATGGGGAAATTAAGGAAAGACGAAATTGATAAGAGAGTGTGACATTTAGAAACATTGTTATTAGATGTCCCATGAAGCTTTTACCGGCTCTAAATGGGCCAAGCGAAAGGAGTAGGTAGCAGACAGGCAGCACGTTCAAAATGCCACCCAACAATATTCGATGAATCAAATTAGGGTGTCACCATCGACGCTTCAAATCACCCCCCCAAAATTATTAAATTAGTAATTATCCACGCTTTTTGTCTTGACGTTTGAGGTGTAAAATTATTCAATTCGGACACTTGGAGAGGGGGATCAAGGGTGACGATTAAAAATATTAGCTACGAATTTATGGGGATGAGAATTATTCTGAAATATTATAATTATATTAAATTATATTGTGTTTTATTATAATTGTGATTAAAAGTTATTTTGATATTTGATTATTTATTTTTTAAAAATATTATGGATGAAATATGATAAATTTTATTAATTATTAATTAAAAATTTAAAAATATTGTAAAATATATAATTATTAAAATAAATAATATTTATTTTTCTAATAATCTACATTTTTAACCACAATAAAAAAGCTCCAAAATAATGTTTTTGATTTTACGTATAAAATTATTGTAAATATGTTATGACTCTTTACAGTTATTAGAAAAAGTAATCTGAAACAATATTTTTAAATACAAATATATCTAAAAATATTATACAACTACACAAAAAAAAACCTCAACTACAGTCTCAAACACACTCTAAGTTGCTTTTTGATGATGTACCCTACTTCATCTATTTTAAAATAAATAATAATAAATGAAATAAAAATTTAAAATTAATTTTTTTGATAAATTATCATATTATTTAAAATATTAAAATATAAAATTTATATTATTTAATAATTTTTTTATTTTTTTAATTTATAATATTATATGTATCAATTAATTTAATAATATAATATGTATCATATCATTAATTTTAAATTTTCATGGTAAATTTTCATCATTGGTATCATTACTCTTTTAGATTTCAACCATGTGTTTTCACATTCTATTTGTAACCCTTTCTTTCTTTTTTTCCTTTTAAATGAGGTTCTTAATTAAATCTTATATCCATGAAATATGAAAAAAATATTGAATATATAAATCAATGTGTTATTAATTTTAATAATGTATTTTAAAATCATGAGAATTAATAAGTCAAAATAAATAACATCAGCCATAAAATTGAATTATTACACCGCATGATAAATTCTAAGAATTATTACATTGACTCTAGTAGTTGAGTTGTTATACCCTTGTTAGCGAATTTCGACTTTTATGACCAACTATATGTACACATCAAACCTTCGTATTTTCACAATGACCACATTTGGCGTGTTATTTTTTTTTAATTAATTTATTAGTATTCAGTAATTATATTAGATTTTAATTAATTTAAAATTAAATTATATTTAATTTTTTTTTAATTTTATTTTTTTTATTTATAAATTTTAAAATTAATATTTTATTTAAAAAAATCAAACTTCTTTTACTTAAATTAGCATATCAATGGTCATTTGGCATGTTGTAATAATGCTGTCTCAGCGTAAAACAAAGAAAAAACAGAAGTCTAAAAACTCAAAATTATGGTACTCCTCGCACTTTGCTCCGTTTGCCGGAACTCAAAATTAGTTTATAAAATGTTTTTCTTGTGTCTCACAACAAAACTGACGTGTTTGTCTACGCCTTCGGTGCATCTGAAATGCGTGTGCCACAGGATCCTATCATTCACGTGCTGCCCATGGCCAAGATCAAGACTGCTTGTTGACAATACATACAACTTTGTTTCCGTGACCTTTATCGGTTTTCTTTACCCCAGCACTCCACATCACTGTTTTTTTTTTTTTTAATTACTATTAAAGTATTTTTAAACAGAATCTTGTGTTACAATCCGTCTTGCAATGCAACGGACTATAATATCAGGATCTTTGATAAGGGTAGGGGAGGATCCAATATTAGGGGTCCTTCCCCTTTAAATGGTGATGATAGTTATAGTTCGTCATAGGATGGACTATAATACAATTTTTTTTATTTTTAAATTAATTTTATATTTTTTAAATTAATTTTTTATTTAAAAAACTTTTAATAATATATTTTTATATTAATTTAATATATTTAAAAAAATTATATCATTTTTAATATATTACTTCTAAAATTAATTTATAAAATAATACTTGTTGTGAGATTTCAAAATTATCACTATTTTTTTTGTTTTAAATAGAAAGAACAAAAATGTAAAGGAAGGTATCAGGAAATTAATGGGCACCCTTGGCCTTGGTTCAAGCAATAATATTTTATTTGAATAATGGAGATTTTCGGGATGAAACTAATTTTTTAAAAGAAAAATAGAGAGAGAGAGAGAGGTGAATTTTGAGCCCATTCTAGACGTATGCCAGAGACTGCGGTGCACCATGCTTCAATCAACAACATTTTTTTTTGAACATTAATCAACAATATTTTATTAAAAAGTACTAACAAAAATATATAGTTAACGTTAAAAAAACAAAAAAAAAATATAGTAATGATTACTATAAAATTAAATAGTCAAAGAAGCCACATACAAAATTGAAATTTAGCCTCTGTAGTGTGGAAACTCGGAGCTAGAATAGACAAGTCCTCCTCTGACCCTAACAAACATTTTCATGGGTCAATAACATTTAAGAAAAATAAAACAAAGGGCATTAACACACCTTGCCCCTTTGGACCAACTAACACAC